ATAACTTCTTTCAGTCCACCCAAGTTTTGGACCGTTTGGTACAAATGAGGTAAATCGACCTCCATCCCTCCAATCTGTAAAGGTAAATAAGCGTATGAGCGTAAAAAGTAAGTGCTGGTCTTCGAATACTTTTGCATATTGGAGAATAAAGCAGTTTTACCCAGGGCGGTTGAATCAAGGTGATGCTTTGAGTAGCTAAATATTTCTTGATAGCCATCATCTCCTTCACATTAGGACCCCACCGATGGAGCATGCGATGTACATACTGATTGTAAGCGGTGAACCTCATGTCATCAGACACTTTGCATTCAGGCTGAAAAATGATAAGAAAAAAAGATAACGCGATGTATACTGAATGTAGATTTCTAATTTTTATTAAGTGCTACGTATTGTTCATTTAACGTGCAATATTCACCTTGAAATTTGCCGGAGGCACGACTTTGCATATTCCAAATTTCTCAGCGATCGATTTAATCTTATCGATATATTCCAACGGATCTTGGAAATCTTTTTCCGTCGGATGGAACGTCGGTGCCTCGACTACGCGAATTTCGTCGTTCGCGTTCTTCGCGCTTGGGAACGTCATATTATTGTACAGCTCCGATCCTTTCTGTTTGTGTTTCATTTGCGCTCTGAAAATATTTTATTACGAAGTTGTTGTATTCAAAAGGATATCGAATTCTACAATTGTTATTGTTCCTTTGAAAATGCAATATATTCGTATACCTTTTCCCGGCCTTTGTCGAATCCGTGGAAGCCTTCTTCTCTCTGGACGACTTGGGAGATTTCGTGAGTTTCTCCAAAGCACTGCTCGCATTCGAGCTAACATTCGGACGATTCAGACTCGGCGCCGGGACGTCGTTTTTCACCGGTGACGCCGGCTGCGTCTCCGCACTCGGCATACTCGCAACGGCAGTCGACACAGTCGTAGTTGTTGAAGTGGACGGCACTTGCTGCTCCACTGTAATCGCCGTGGGATTGGGTCGGGTGCGCGTTGTCGGCTGCACCGTGCCGATCGGTGGACAGCGCGCCACAGACAACGGCGGCTTGGTGACCAGTTTGGCTCGGAGAAGCACTCTCTGATTAGGACCGGTCGGTCCCTCCGTGCCGAGCTTCACGGCCACGCCCTGTATCAACTGTTGACCTTGCACCAAGTTCGGGCCGCTCCGCGTGACAGCCTGCAGCGGAATGTAAAACAACTGTCCCTCGTTGTCGTCGTCGTTCTCGTTGCTCGTCTCGGTCTGCGTGGATATCTCGGTGCTTTTCTGTTGACTCGCGTTGCTCTCCTGCTCCTGCGTCGTCTCGTCGAGATTCACCTGCACCGCGATGGAAGCGCTGCAATTTACGTTGCTCCAGCTCGTCGTGAGCTTGTCGAGCGGCAGTACTTGAACGCTGGTTAAGCTCGCGAAGTTCTTGGGCAGCTCGAAGTTGTTCATGCTCACGGCCGTATTCGCCACGTTTATCGTTTCCGGCGTCTCCTGCTCTCTCTTCGCGGGCGAGTCACTATCGCTCGACGATTTTTCCTTGCTGTCGGACATTTCGGAGCTATCCTTCAAATCGGATTTATCGCCCTTGGCGTTTTCTTTCGTCTCGAATTCCGCAGTGGAAGCCACCGCACTCGATGTTCGCGTTTTCGCGTTTTCCTTCGCTTTCCTTCTGAAGGGCGTGTTAATGGGGGCCTCGGCTTCGCTCTCAAACGCGTAAACGCTGCTCTCGTTCTCCGGAGAGAACGCGTTCGCATTCGGAGTCACAGTCTTACGTTCCTTAACCTTAGGCAGAAAGGGCTTCCGCGGTTGAAATATCTTCTTCTCCGTCGGCGATTTCTTCTCTATAGAACCGTCCAGAGAATTCTGATCCGATTTCGACACAGTATCGCTGGTATCTTCAGCGATGGGAATATCCTTGCTCGTCTTCTCATTTTTGTTCTTAACAACTTCCTTCGCTTCAGCATTGACCTTATTTTTGTTAGCGATTGTACTCTGCAGCTTCGTTTCAACATTCGATGCTGCGCCCATCACATTTCTGCTGTGCATTCCCATTCGGTCCCTCAAATTCTTATCCGCTAATTTTGAGAGTGTGACATTGACGGGACGTACCAAGTGTTGAATTTTTGAGGAGATAGACAAATGCGAGATGTCCGCCTTCAGTTTCTCCGCAGGATCGTATCTGAAGCTGGAGACGTTCTCCATCTCCAACTTGCTCTCCTCCTTGGCAAACGAGCTCTCGTTCAGCCACTTTTCTATCTGTTCGGTCGACATGTTCACTCGCTCCTTTCTCGTGTGCAGAGTCGACAGTGGTATAAGATTGGGAGAAACCTCGGTCTTGTGACTGCACGTCTTGGTGTCCGTCTGCTCCACGGATGGCAATAGCGAGCTGTGCGTCTTGATAGACAGATCCAGCACCGATTTCTGGTCCTGTATGGACAAACTGCACTCGTCGTGCAACAGATTTGCGACTGGAAAACCAGCGTCGACGGGTGACGGCTGCTCCTTGCTTTCTTGCAAACTCGTGCTTTCGTTCGCTTTCAGCGAATTTACCTTCTCGTCGGCTTCTGTGACTAGCAGATTGACGTTTGCGTGCGTCTGACATGAATTCAGCACTTTCGATATCGCCTTCTTAGTAAATCCACGAAAAGATTCCTCGTCGTCCGACACTTTCGACACGTCTGCTTTCGTCTTTTGTACGTCGCTGCGAACCGCCTCGTCACTTTTCACATTACCAGACACCTGCGGTTCTTCCATCTCTTTACCGCCCTCCTTCTGCCTTTTTATTTTCCGCAGCAGCATCCCCAATGTTTCCTCTTCGGAAGAAGTGTTCTCCTTCTGATCATTCGTTACAGCTACTTGCTTCGATCCGCTAGTTTTGTCCGACGATGTCTTGGACGTATTTTGATCATGTTTGCGCTTCGTCACAAATTTTTCTTTAGTAGATTTCACGGGATTTTGAACCTTCGTCTTCGATTTGTTATTTACGTTACTCTGCACTTCGGTCTGCGCAGTTGTATTCTTCGAGGAGGATCTAAGACTCCTGCTGACTGTCGAGCTTTCCACTTTCTCGAGCTTTCCACTCTGTCTGGTGATGGGCCTTGTATTGTTCGTTTCCACCGAGCTTTCGGACTCCTCCTCGCTGTCCTCTTCGCAGTACCTCTGCACTCTCATCAGACGTTTGCTTTTCAAGATCAATTTGTTGTTTTTGCTCTTGTCCAATCGTTTATTCCCGTGGAAGGCATTAACTTTGGAATCCTTAGCTTTATTAACAGTCTTCGCAGACGTCTGTTTCACTTTGGCTTTGAATTCGTTCTCCGTTTGCGCCATTCTACGTGCACTTGGTAGCTCGGGGAAACTTTCGACCGAATCGTTGTCATCGTTCTCTAAATCCGGGCTCACTAATTTTCTTCCAAGAAGTTCCATGTAGACGGCGGCCGCTTCCTTAGTCTTTCTGGTCGGCCTCCTGGAAGGATTCTGCGAGGAGACTGTACTACTGCACGATCTGGTGACTCGCCGCATCTCAGACTTACTTCTGGTGCAGATCTTCTTCTGAATACCTCTTTGTAGGTTGCGCTTTATCTGTGATGTCGACTTTTCTACAGGTAATTCTTCCTCCTCATCCTCTTTCCGGCCGTTTTCTTCTCCGGACGACATATCCGTGTTCGAAGTGTCGACAGCTTTCGGTTTCAAGTTGATTTTTTTCTTTGGTTTGGGTGGCGCGACTCTCGTCTTTGCCAAAGGCTTGTTAGCTTTATCCAATAGTACACTGCTTCTCAGGCCGTGTCTCTTCGTTTCGATTCTGGGTAAGAATTTTCTCGGCGCCAACTGAATACCAGCTTTCAATATAGCTCTCTCAGTGCACGATCTCGTTCTCATAACGCAAGTGGCTTTGAATTTATTTTTGATCCTTTGCTTAGCGAGGCGTTGCTCTTGATACTTCTTTTTAAGTGCTTGAACCGTAGACGTTGCCGTTTTAAGTTTGGTAATGTTCTTGTGTATCGTAGTAGGCATCTTCTTTTTATCAGAGACAACAGGCTTTACTTTTGTTACATTCTTCTGGCATGTGTCTTGTTTCTGAGTTTCTGTGGAAGTACTAGTAGAAGATGATATTTTCTCTGTAGAAATACGAGATAGTTTGGGTTCTGGTTTTTCTTTCTTGCTGCCGACATTGAAAAAATTTAAACTTGGTGGCAAAATGGAAGTTCCTGAATATAAAAAGAGAGTTTGTTACTTCAAAAATGTTTAAATTAAAACATATAATATAATTAACTATAATTCACAATTTTTTCAGCAATATTAGACTTGGATTTTCAAAGTATGTATTTTTATGTATTTTTAAGAAGTATGTATAAATTATTTAAAAAAAACACATCTGTGTTTGTTCTCTAAAGTCAAGCAAAAGATATCACATCTTGAGTAAACATTATTAATTAAATACTACAATCTAACATCATCTTCAAATAAACAATTCACCTCTGAAGCATAAAAATGTTAAAAAGTCTTCCGTATTCGGACGTTTGTGAGTTATTAATTCCGTGATCATGGCAGGCTTAGTTTTTTCTTTGTCTTTGACAGGCGTAGGTGATGTGTTGAACACTGTAGTTGCACCTTGTGCAAATTTTCTTTGTGCGTGAACTTTGGTCCTAATGTGAATTAATTATAAACTTAATATCTTGGCGAATATATGCAACATATCATTATAAATATATACATAGTTTTTAAAAAATATTTTACTTTTACAAGAAAACAATTATTGCAACATTGAGATTGATTATATGGAAAGATCACCTCTTTGGAGATTCCGAGAGTGGTTCCATCAGATCTACCAAATCTCCTTCCTTCTTCTTTCTTTTATCATTCCGATTTAAAACCATTTTAAATTGATACGCGACGGGGATTTAAATGTCACTGTGCTGTTAGAACACAAAAATTGTTGCCAACGATCCTTCGTAGAGCGCTTAGACCATGTTACATGAAACGCCTCTTTTGCACGAAAGTTGACCTCCGATTAATTCATAGAAATCGATGACCCGATCGATTCGCTGTAAATAGCGGAACTTGGGCGTACGTGCAACATCGCCGATACACTAATGGCCAGCACGTTGTGAAAAAAATTATGCCAAGTGATTTAATCGACGCCAGATTGTTCACGATCAGTTTATACTTCTGACTAACCGCAAGTCGAGACGTAAAGTGTCTAAAAAAATTAATGGAAATTATAACACTCTGTTGCGCGAAAGCCGCGTGCTAGCTTTTCATTTTCGTTCGAATAGCAGTTGTTTATTATGTCAAGTAAAATTAAATACCACTGATTCTGACCTATGATTTGAGCATACGTAGACGCGTAACACGAAAGAGTATCGATTCATCAAGATCTGTTTTTATAGAGCGCGAAGTAAAACCGGAAGTGGACAATCTAGATTCAAAAGTGTACATCGTATACATTAAATTTTTTATGTCAAAAATACACAATGAATAAATTACGCTTGTTTTATTTCATTTAAGTGCTCGCGTTAGGAATACAAGCTATTTGAATTTTTTCAGCGAAACATTGATATAAACAGTGCTAGAAGTTTCGTGAAAACCAGCGAAATCGGATATACATACGCTATACTTACACTTTAGAGCAGCGTGGCCAGATTTGAGACGCAAGAAGCAAGCCATTTTTAGCCAAGACTCAAACCAAATGATTTAAATCTTGGCTAAAATGGTTTGAATCTTGGCTAAAAATGGTTCCGAGCCAAGAGAGAAAGAGTCTAAGGAATGATGCTTATTCTGTCTCGCACGTTTATTTAGATGGCTTGCGCATGTATGCGGTACCCCCTCCATTCATGCTACTTGCTCTTTCCGTCTTAAATCTGCACACTGCTTTAGAAGCTCTTTCATTGTTTATGCAAAGCAACGAGAGTGATTTAGGTCTCAACAGTATTACATGTGTGTTCATGCGTGTTTAAGGAAGAGGATTGTCCAGCGTAATAATTGATCGATTTGCCATTGTCCGACGAAGGTAAGCGATAATGGTATATGCTGAAGCACATTGTGCAAAAAACTCACGTCTGCTGCTATGAAACAGGGCGGGGATGTCACTCGAGATGCGTGTTAAATTTCGCAAACAACGCGTTCATATTCGGACGACGGCCTTCGGAACGCAAGACGTGTTTTTTATTTCGTAATATATGCGATAATGCAGTCGGCGGTTCTCTTGCCTCAAACTTTCTTGTTTATGCAAGATCTCGTAACTGAAATTATGCTTAAAACAATAACTGGCGTTATATATATCGCGAATCTTATCGCCCGATTATGTCCATGTGATGAGTATTCTATTTTTAGAGTTATATGATCAAAATGTAACGATTGTGACGTAAATTTGAGATTATTTCGTCGTCTAATATCGTTTCTTACTTTTCCACATGATCATGATATAAGTTGAAATGTCCAAATGCTTGCTCGATTTGTAATACATTATTGCATAAAATTTTGACACACATTGTTAGTAATGGATTGATAATATGCTCATATATTACTGAATTAATATAATATAAAATTTACTTTAAATATTTTTAATATTAAAAAAATGTTTAGGTGTGTTTACATACATCAAATTTTAATATTGACAGGTAAAAAAGGAGCATTATGCATAAAAATGGACCACCGCCGCCTTATGAGCCGCCTCCATACGCACCGCCTGCTTATTCTCAGAATGTAGGAGGTGTTCCTCCTGCCAGTCCATTTACACCAGCACAAGCTTGTAAGTTAATCCAATTTTAAACAGAAATATTGTATGGTAAGGCTTCTACTTCTTCATTACTATTATGTTGAATTATGATTTAATTATGTCAGAAGAGAAAGAATGTGTTAATTTTATCTTGCATTATACAGAATTTATACTTGAAGAGAAATTATACAATTTTTTTATTTTTGATGTCACAATACAGCTGCATGAAAAAAAGGAGCCTTAATTAATTTAATTACTTATTAATGAAAATATATGCAATTGTTGATTACATTCTTTATTATATTGTTTTACAGATGCAAATGGACCTACTATAGTCACAACCATAGTTCCACTTGGGCCACAGTCTACCCATACAATTTGTCCACATTGCCATGCTGAAATTGATACATCAACAAAAACAGAACCTGGCATGATTGCTTATATCTCAGGAGTCATCATAGCGTTGTTGGGGTAATTATAAAGAATATAACAGATTGCATTATATATGTATACTGCAATATAACATTTTTTTCCTTTTATATTTACAGGTGTTGGTTGGGTTGCTGCTTGATTCCTTGTTGCATTGACGAATGCATGGACGTTCACCACACTTGTCCAAACTGTAAAGCTTATCTGGGACGTCATAGAAGATAAGCAGGTGTATCAGCATCCATGAGAGTTGCATTTGAATATTGAAGTATCTTTTTACAACACTACCAATAGAATTCCAAGGGGTATATTAAGCTTTACTTTGAATTTGTACAGTTTGAGGACAGTTCTCTGTAAGAGAGAATACCATGCAAGATGCAGCTCTATATTTAACAAGATCATCCTAATAGTACATGGTATTTACGCAGCTATTCTATACAATTGTTTAACATCTTACCAGGTAATCTTATCGCACTCTTTGATATATTCTCTTGCACGTTTTTTGTAAAAATATTTATTATGCTTTTGCATAAAATTGATTAAATCAATATGTGCAAGACATTTATGACAACGAGAAACATGTCTGCTTTTAAGCACTTATGTGTAACTTTACACGTCTCAAATGAAAGACATGTGTCAATTTGTGCTTCCATATTAATGAAAGAACTATATCTTTAATTTATTTGCGTTAAAGTGTGTACTATATAGATTATTTGCATCATTAATTTTTAAAGATTAATTTTTATTGATCGTAATTGTTACTCTTAAACAAAAACATTGTTTATATTTAAAGCATAATGTTAAGATCAAAAGATTGTGCACACACAAACATGAGTGTCTATCTACTCGTTGAGCCGTCCAACTTTATAAAATAATTAATGATATCCGCACTAAGTGATTTTAACATTTATTGTTTGTATATAAATAATACTCAAAATCTGGATATCTTCAATACAATTAAATATTATATTATTGTGTATTGATATTGTGGTCAACATTTTCGAAACTTCTTTATACTTTAAAATATAAAGCACAATAAAGTTTTGCTATATGTTTTAATACAAAATGAGTAATTATAAAGTTAAGTAAATTTTTGTAAATTTAAAATTGTTATATATATATCGATATTATTTTATAAAATTTTTGAGAACATTTTACATGAAACTGTTGATTTACACACAAAGATTAATGATGCAAATTATATTTTCATATTGTTGATGGAAATAATTTTTCTCCAACTTCTGTTGCAAATCGCATTATATATAATGAAATGTCTGCCTTTTCTAAAAGTAACTCCTTTGTCGTTAATTCTTCTTTCTGATCATCCTCTTCTGTCTATACAAAGCAATTTAAATCGTATTCTGTGAAAGTGAAATTAATCAGTATCTTAAAATTGCGTAAGAAGATTGAGGATGAATGTCATGAAGGATTAAGAAATATTTTGGCCAGTTTGTTGGCTGTGTCGATCAAACTTTAGCACACAATATGATTTGCAAAGCAGAAACTCCATTGCCTTGTAGATTTCAAAGATTCAACAATGGGAATATTTTCCTCTGTTGATAGTACGTGTTTAGATTGCTCTGCATTGGATACTGAATTAGTATTTGATGTATATTTAGAAAGCTTGGAAGTTTGGAGAAAACTTATTGCTTAGCTTATTGCTTATTGCGTAAGAAAGAAGATAAAATATATAATGTAATGTTATGAAAATTTATTGGAAGCATTAATACGACCAAATATTTTAGTAACAACCAAAATTAAAAACCAAATTTAAAAATTAATTAAATTTAAAAAACTAGTCAAAATTAAATTTGCTTTGAAGAATTGATATGAGTCATCGTAATGTAAAATAAAAATAGCGTATTGCAAATTGCATTAAAAACTGAGGATTTGCTACGCTTATTTTTGCACGTGAAACGTGCATTAAATCGCATCGAGATTAAATACTTCTCAAACCTCATGTGCTCTTATTAAAATATATTTCTATTTTGTTAAGTATTTAGAAGTGACCAATATTGGAATTGCAATAAATATGCGCACAAAAGCATCTTGTTTATCTCTATATAAAATATATAATATTTGCAATAATAGTTACGATATTTAAAAAGAATGAGAGCTTAACAATGTGCAATTTAAAAATTTAAAAATGTATGCAATAAAAAATGATTTTGCTCTATAGAATATTTTTTTTATTCCATCCTGTCCAGTATAATAACTCAAAATATCAACACAAGTATTTATTTTAAAGAAAGTTTAATTTCTAATTCGCTCAATATTCATTACTATGTGCATTTGATAATTTTATAAAAATATTGTTGATATAGTATATGATATTCTCACATGTGTTACAGATTTATCTGTCGATAATTTTATTAGAATGTAGTTGTTTTTCAATTGTATTATTTGTGTAAGCAGCATTCAAATAATCCCGCGTATCTAAGAAGTTGAGTTTTGTACTTCACTGTACGATAATTGATTATTTGTAAAGCTCGCATCGAACTATACAACTTGTATCAATTCGCAAGCGATCTAGTAAATTACTAGAAATGCTGCGTGCTGTATGGTGCATTTTTGGTAGTTTATCAAAATTGCTGTAACATGTTGCATATTCTGATGCAGGCTTAAGGCAAAATGAGCTCAATGCTCTCTCTCTCTATCTATCTTTTGTACATACAATAAAATAAATACGTGTAAAAGGCGGGAAGAAACGTCACATAAAGTTGTGTCATAAAAGCATCTTAGTTATTTAATTAAATTTTATATATTTTGATCGATTATTATTAGATAACACAATGGCTGATGAATTCCCAGATCCAGATGAAGAATTTGATTTTATCGCTAAAGAGGATTATGAGGTTATGAAAGAACTGGAAAGTAAATATGACTCATATATTAATATAATAATTCTGCAAATAAAGAAAAGTTTGAAGAAATTTTATTTACATTTTTATTTTCTATATGCTCTATTATATTAATTGCGACAATAAAAGTGTTTATTTTGTTGAATAAATCTCAATTGGTTATATTTGCTTCCAGGTGAATCACTTGACAGAATAGAATTGTCGCAGGCTGGGCCTAGTAAAGTATCTCAGACAGCAAATAGTAACAAACGTCAAGCAAATGTTGAAAGCTCTAATATTGATAAAGTTATTGACAATAGTACATTTAATAGTAATAAAAAACGCAATTATGAAGAGCTTTATAGCAATAGTACACCTAACAATAGTAAAAAACGTAGTTATGAAGAATTGTTTGGGGACATCTCTGACTTCTTGGAAAAAGATATCTCTACGATAGGTATGATAATCAATTGGTAACTGCAAACTAAGTTATATTTCAGATATTGTTAAAAAATTAAATTTTTAGATAATGTTGATTGTATTGAGGAACCACGAGAAAAAAAACTTCGTTGGGATCAGCCAGAAAAGGTCATTAAAAAAATATTGGAGGCAAGACAGTTAATTTATGAACACAGTGAAGGTACATCAACAAACATAAAGCACAATGAAAAGTAAGTAAATCTGTAATACATTTTATATTATGATTTATGCAATATAAGCTGCACAATGTTTGATTTATTATATTTATATACTAGTACTCAATACAGCAAGAAAGATTCCATTTCGTTACGAGTTCCACCATGGAATTTTGTGGCTGTTACAAGATCGTATGATTCTCAACGCCTGTTCATTAGAGTTAGAAACACGCTGAACAACATTAAAGAATCCAAAAAGCCATTTTCCAATCTGCTCTCCACACCTTACAGGCAATTAAAATCTCAAGCTGAAGAAATTGTAAATTAAAAAAAAATTTTTTTATATATATTGCATTTTTATATCGTATTGATATATCATTGTATCACAGATGACAAAAAAGATGCTATTATCGGAGCAGGCAGCGCCCAATGTATGTAATACGGAGAATGTAATTAACGATGAACTATGGGTTGATAAATATCGACCACGATCGTATTTAGAATTATTATCAGACGAAACCGTTAATCGACAACTCTTACATTGGCTGAAGCTTTGGGATAAGATAGTTTTTAATCGAAATATAAAACTGACAAAGCAGCTGCCTGAAAAAAGAAAGAAGAAAAAGGATAATAACAAAGAAGATATTGAAGAAGTGGATAGCAAAGGATGTCCAATGAAAAGGATAGCTTTGCTTAGTGGACCACCTGGATTGGGAAAAACGACCTTGGCACATATAGCAGCTACGCATGCTGGTTATAATGTTGTGGAAATCAACGCGAGTGATGAAAGAAGTCCAAACACATTTAGGTAACATATGAAATTTACATGATAAGGTACATAATGCTTTGTTTGAAAATTACATTGTACAATGTTTTTTGTTTAGACAGATCCTTCTTGCATCAACGGAAATGAAAGCCGTAATAGGCGCCAATCCTCGACCAAATTGTTTAATTTTCGACGAGATTGACGGTGCACCGGCTGCATCTATTGAGCTTCTGTTAAAATTCGTTCAAGGCAAACTAGTATCGAAAACTAAAAAGGGAAAGGGACAGACAGAAAAGATGTCTGATAGCTGTAAACGTCCTGTAGTGTGCATTTGTAATGAGCCATATGCTCCAACGTTAAGGTAATTAGAAATGTGAAATAAAATCAATTAAAAATAAACATAATATTTTGATAAAAAGGAAACAAACATTTTACATTAATTTTAATTTATTATTAGAACGTTAAGAGCTGCCGCTGTAATAATCCCAGTGCCAGAAGTAAGTCCTTTAAGATTAGCTGAACGTTTAATGGACATAGCGAGAAAGGAAAAGTTAAACGTGGACTTCAGCGATCTTGTGAAAATAGCGGAGAGATCCAGCTGTGACGTTCGGGCTTGCGTAGGAGCATTACAATACATGGGAAGCGCCAATTTAAAAGATAACTTATCTTTAGGCTTGAAGGATACTCGTAAAAATTTGTTCGATTCGTGGAGAAATATTTTAACAATTCCCATGAACAAAGGAGGAGTTGTCACTGTTCCTGAAAGAATCGGAAATATTCTGAGAACAGTACAAAATGGTAATTTGAAAACTAATTTCATACAATTTATTAATGTTTAATGTATTTTGCATAATTTCCTTGTTTTCTTACAAATTTTGACACAAATATCATTGAAATATTAATGAATAAAATGTTTGTTTAGGTGAAACGGAAAAGCTGACACAAGGAATATTTCATAATTATCCTGAAATCTGTGATCGAAAACTCGATAATGTGTCTATATCTCTGGAGTGGTTTCAGTTTTACGATTTAATAACGTCGCTTGTTATGCACAAACAAATCTGGTCACTTATGCCCTACACGAATTATGGATTTATTGCGTGGCACTTGCATCTTGCACGAACACAGAGAGTGAAACTGTCTTATCCTACTGTTACCAGCGAAGTAAGTATTATTCAATCATGAAAAGAATTTGCAAAAATATTCATTTTTTTATGTAGTAAAGTTTTTTATAAACCAAAGTAATTTTTTCTTTATTAAAAAATCATACTACACATTACAAGTCTAAAGACAGAACAATTTTAATATGTTCTCACAAACATATATTTTATAGAAACATTACGATCACATAATCTATGAACTGCAATGTATTTTCTAAATATGTTATTACATTCTTATTGTTACCGTTTTTTTTATAGGTAATGCAAAAATCGGCAAAGAATACAGGTATTTTAACGGCGATACGAAGAGTGTGCGGACGTGATGCTTTCACTTTAACTATGGATATTGCTAGTTTCTTGCCGGACCTCCTGTCGCCCAAATTGCGCACAGTTCCTTCTCATTTATACTCATCGAAAGAGAAGGCTGATCTCGCTAGAATAGTGAATGTGATGCTTGAATTTGGTTTATCGTTCGTGCAAGAGAAGAATTCTCAAGGGGGATACATCTACAATTTAGATCCGTACGTTACATTGATGATAGCTTGACAAGTAATACACGCATTTTATTAATGATGTATCAATGCGTATCTTTTTAGTAATATCTTTGAAGTTGGTGTTTTTCCCGACTGCAACGCGCATCGACATCTCGCATACGCGGTGCAGCAAATTATTACACAGGAATTAGAGGTCGAGCGTTTAAAGCGTGCGAGTATCTCAACAGGATTGAGTCGAGCTAGCTCAGAGAACACGACAAATTCAAGAAAACCTGAAACTGCAGAAAATATCCAAAATAAACCATCCAATACTCCGAATAACGCGAAACAATCTGGGAAAAAGATGTCGTTAAAGGAAATAGTAAGTCTTTCGCGTCTTTTTCCTTTACGATCAAAAAAAGATTTAGTTAAGTTGTCGCAAATTTTTCATCTTTAACAATGATTATTTCAGATATACAAAGACTTTTTCGGGAATATTATTACAAATGAAAACAAAAATGTTTCAAAGGATAAAATGGCAAATCGTATCTCTCCGAAATCACAAAAAGGATATTCAGTGATACAAAATATGTTGACAAAACACGGTGTGTGGTATAAATATAAAGAAGGTTGCAACAACGCCGTTCGTCGAACTGTATTAATGGAAAAATTCTTATAAATAGAATTAATTTGATTACAGCATTTTTGTAATATTTTAACACTACTTTTAAACCTTTATTCTTTTTACAAATGTGTGATACATTTTTTATTTTTGTTTCTTTTTTTCTATGCAATACACGGCCGCATTCACCATAAGGCGCATTAGGCGCAAGCTGGGGCCTCATTTTGAAATTTTACTCCTCACTAATAACAATATAAAAAACAGCCTAGTTATAGTTGCAAAATAAAATACTTACTTTTAAATATTAAATTTATAATATAAAAACTAGAGGCCGCTGAAAAATTTGTAAGCGGTAATTGTTTGTTAAATTACGCCTTTTTGCATCATGTAATGCATGCCGACTTTTATTTTCTATAAACTTAAAAAAAAATGCGTATGAATTTGATTAACTGAAATAGACTTGTTCTTTTGAGACCTCATAATGATGTTGCGCCTAGAGCCTCCAAAAGTATAAATGCGGCCCTGTGAGTTGCAAAGGTTTGAGTAAAGAAAATCAAGAAGTCTCAATACTTCTTGTAAGACTATCATGATTGAAGGATCTTGAAAATCTTAAAAATTTTTAAAATCTTAATGTCTTTGATATCTTGAATGATACTAATGTGATAGTAATGTTTTGCGTAAATTATTACACATTCATATACACAACCACACATGAATATAAATTCAAGACTTTCATGCTTTCAAGATTTTTCAAACTTAATTAAAACAGTCAACATGCTTTAAAATTTTTTATTTTCAATCATTTTTGGCTTGCTTAAAAATTTGCAAGTAAGTCTTGAAATCATATTACTATTATAAATAAATGTATATATATAATTTGTATATATAATATGTATATATATAATTTTGTGTTTTAAAAAAACAAAAATAATATTGACGAAGATCGATATTATTATTGTACATCGAATTATATGTATACTCGTCAAAGAATATATAAAATTTAAAAGTTTTCAAATCGGTCATACCAGATATTTTTATATAAGTTACATTTTGTTGTAAATTTTAAGTCTAATAAATTAATCATGCGTTCTTAAATCTATAACATTTCAGTACATTCTGATGAACAAGCATAACATTCAAATCATGCATTCGAAATATTTTCTGATACATTAAATTTAACATTAAGTTTAACATTCAGTATTGAAACATACTCAGAAGAATTTATGAAGCGCTTTTTATAATAACGAAAACATGGAGTTTCACAAAAGAAGCAATATTTTTCCACATTTAAACATCTGACCAATGCTTGTGTTAATTTGTTTGTGTAATTTAATCTATAATTGTCAAGATTATTAAAAATATTGAAATAATTTTGATTTATTAACATATTTATTAGCATTTAGCAAAAATTTAAATAAAAAAAATATTTAAAAAATAAAAATAATTTATTAAAAAACGACAAAAAAACTTAGGCGTTGCTACACCTCAAAGTGATGATATT